TTATTTGTTTGATCTAGTAAGGGGGGTGTTAGAAATAAGCCACTGCCCGACGAAACAACGGTTTACAAGCGACCCGATCGAGCGAAGAGCTCCAATGCGCAACGACATTCTAGAAACTGTTGGGCCAGCCACAATTGGTGTAATGTCTGGGTGCGTATGGCGAGAAAGCCCCTACTCCTAACAAGCTGACAGGAAAAAAAGGGTTGAGTCGTCTTTTTCCCGCTTTCACCTTCGATTGCAAAGAGATTTGAGACCGGGTTTCAATTCGCTTCTCTCTCTCCGGCGAGGTTTGAACTTCGCGTGGTGGGAAGGCCTTTGCAATTCGCATCTTCCTGTCCAGCAAAGAAAGTGAAGGGGAGCAGACAGCAAGTTGGAGGACACTGCAGAACCGCATTGATCCATGCCATTCCCTAATTGAAGCAAGTTGTAAAGCCTGAAGAGCCTCAGCCCCTACCCCTTTCTATCTATTTCAAAAAATGAAAGCTGACTAGCAATCGCTCATTTTTCTTATTAGCATGGGATTGGATGTTTGAAAGACAGAACATCTATTAGAAGGCAGGCAATCCCCGGGGAATTCCTATCGATTTCGGATAACAATCCATCTTTCTCACTTTCACTCTTTTTCCCAATCAATCGCGAGGGTTCCGGACATGAGAACGCAAGCGCCGGAATCGAACAAAACATCCGAGGACGAAAGAAAAATGCTTCGCGGGGAACTTCTTTCATCTCGGTGTATTCGTGCTGGTTAGACGTCGGCCATGAAATCCATCATTATACCGAGCAGATCACAGACATTCCTCGGGCAAACGGAACTATGTGCGATTTGCGAGAGAATCGCCTTCAGCAAGGTATGGCATTCAGGGTCTGAACGCGGGGAGAAATCTTTCTTCATAGATACAAGATAGATACAAGACATTCGTTGCTGCTGATTTAAAAAAGATCTTAGCCAAAGGGCGTTAGCAGACGTTTTTCATTCCCGGTCCAACCATTTTAAAAGTTAAAGTCCACCTAACTAACCAACCGGTTACCTTTGTAAACGCGCTAAAATTGGCCTCTCTATAGGTTCACCTTTCGTCTCGTTTCGAATATTAGAGTAGTATATATAATTAGCCAGATCGTCTGAAGCATGAACAGAATCACCTTTCTTTGTTCCGAAGGCCTAGCGAGTTAAGCGAGTTCCTTTTCTTTCTCCGGACCGATGACTCGCTTGTTCAGTATTGCTAACTATTATAGGAGGAGTCCCCTCAAGACTACCAGTAGTTTCGGTTGTAGAATCTCGTGCTAGTTTAGTTAGGTTGTGGTTGGATTGGCTGCAAGCGGAACGTAGGCGCTTTAGGTTAGGTGTGTGTTGACCATGAACTCTCGCGAAAGGAATGGAATTTCGTATTTCTTATATAGGTGGTGTGGTGAATGACCTCAATGCTAATGGTTATCCCTAAGGTTCAACGAATGAATCAAGCTATGATCTTACCCAGGGATGATGGTCTTCCTCTTCTGTCTCCAAGCCGGCCATAATAGAATAGATAGGCGAAGCTGCCAATAAATAGCTGTCTGTTCTCGCCTATCGATAGATAGTAGGTTGCTTCCAAGCTCAAACCATTGGAAACGAAATTGCTACTTTCTTCTTGTTATTGATAGAATAGAATGGTATTCCCCGCCCCTGTCAAATCTAGTCTAGGGAGAGAACTGGAAGAGAGAAGGAACAATGATAAGTGAAAAGGATTATCAAGTCTAATGGGAGAAGAATGGCTGACCTTTTGAAAGAATACAAAGATGCCTTCCAGACTCCAAAATCTAACCCCAGCTAACCCACAGGGCGGGCCACAACCGAAAGGCGCTAGACGGATTAACGGCAAGCGAGAGAAAGTGCCCCTATGTGTAAAACCTTGCTGCGGGAGAGTCTTTCGCCAATGAGAATACAGAAAGTTTTTGGGCAAGACAAGAAAGGAACTCGCCGAAGGGATAAGAGAGAATTGCTGGCGATGACTTGGTGAAGGGAATCTATGAGAGAAGGTTATCGAACCGGGTTCCGACCGAATAGAGCGCAGAGCCAACGAGTTCAGTCGAACAGCGTAACGAGTCTAAGGGCAGAATCAAGCTTGAAAGGAATGGGCGTAGGCTTAATAGTGAACACCGCTTCTCGATATGAAATCAATGAGTTCAAAGACAGATGCCGAGAGAAAGAGACTGATATATTGCGTTGCAAAGAGAGATCGAAGATGCAAATTTTCTAACGTTGTGTGGGCACTGGATGGAAAAGACAGAGAAGAGAACAACCCACCGAAAGGGCATACCTCAGGAGAACCCCCGGCAAACATCAAGATGCACGAAGCCGACCTATATCTCAAAAGAAAAATGCAGGAAAGGCAAATGAAAGATGAAAGCCAAAATCTGGGGAGTGTGAGATACGCAGACGGGGAGTACGCAGCCGAACGCAGGGGCTTCCAGCAGTGATAGCTGACCCCACCAGATGGGCCGCCCAAAACCTGGAGCTAACATTTCAATCGAAAATCAACGTCGGATCGCGGCGAGACGCAAAAGGCAGACTGAAGCTTCGGATCACAAAATGCAAGACAACAAGGGGCAAACCAAGCGCTTGCGCGAAAGAAGAAGTGAATCAAATGGAGACATGGAGAAGAGGCGAAAGAGAGATTTTCGAGCCTGCAAGCTACAAGCAACAACGGTGGAAAAGTCGTTGCGCGCTAGCTTGTAGTTTAGGGATCTCGTAGGGGTGCCCTTTTCAAAAATAGATATCCTTTCTAAGGTCAGCTTTTTGGAACCCTAGTTTTGGACTTTTCCCCAACCTATACCCTTACTAATAAATAAAGAGGAGCTTACCTTTTTCAGCTGCATTGCACTGCCGCATAAACAATGGATCCGCTCACTGGGCTAGATGAGCTACCTTCAATCTATCTGGCCTCTGTAGTAACTAGTAGTGGAGTGACTTGCTACTTTCAATCATCAAAGGAAAATGGAGCAAGGGAGAAAGAAGTTGTCCCCTCTTCTATGGTAACCCGCCGCCGGTCATCTAGATTGCTCCGCTCGCCACCGCATATCTAGAAAAAGAGGGAGCGGGGAAGGAAGAACAACCGTTTGACTTTAGCACATGAGCTAGGGGGTTTGGCTAGGTAACATAATGGAAATGTATCGGACTGCAAATCCTGGAATGACGGTTCGACCCCATCCTTGGCCTCGGGGAGTAGCGAGCTGCACGGAACGATCATTAATCAAAGGGGGCTTCCCAACAAAGGAAATCAAAAGACAACATTCTGGAACTTCCAAAAACCAAAGAAATGCAAGATACATGAGAAGGAGCTTTTTATGTAACGCTTCCATAGAATGAATTCGGTAAGGGTAGAATACGCCCCATGGTCGATTGAAGGTCCTGTGCCACTTTCACTCCAATCTATCTGACCTTCAATCCATCTTTCTTTGTCTAGCCAGCTCATAACCAAATCTTAGACCAGGCTGACACAAACAACCTTTTTCGTTTTGGTTGAGGAAAAGGAAGAAACCCCAGCGACCAAGCACTTTTGCCCCCAAAAGCGGAGACCGAACAACCGCCAAGTTTTCGAGGACACATCCGAAGAGGAGGCGGGCGCCCTATCAGTTTACCACCCTACCCACTAATGGACTATGAGGGAGTGGGCAGGCGAACGAGAACTTGCCGAGATCCCAAACCGCTTGACTGACTGGAATACTCAATTTCATTAGGGTCAAGGATGGATGAAACCAATCATCATCACGCAAGCGAAGCCGGGAAACAGACCGCTGCGCAACGACTAGGACTCGTGTACGAGGAGTTTTGAGCGTGAGCTACCACTCATGTAAAAAGACCTGCAACTCTCGAAGACGAAGAGGACACCAACTGCCCGAATCACTGTAGCAAAACCTCCGTTTACTCAATGGATAGCCCTTATTCAAGAGAAAAAAGAAGAAATGAGGGAGAAACTAGTGATGATTGGCATGAATGCAGCCTTCGAGGACATGTACAATCTGGTCTTTGCTCCTATCAACATGGTGCACCTCCACGTAGAGGGTCCCGTGGAGACTTTGACTGAATTAATAGGGAGAAATTGCTCGACATTTTGATTGAGGAAGAGAATCCAAGATTCACGCTTTTTTCGTTCGATATGTGCTGATGCGTACTCTCGTTATCGATGGACGGGGGAAGTGAATGACGAGACCGGCTGGCTTGGCTTAACCTAACCCTCTCTTGATGGAGAATCTTCCTTGACTGACACTAGGAACCGATTCGGAGAAAGAAGAAGCATGGCATGAGAACGGACAAATTGCCGATAGCGAATTACTTGACTCGATAGATGGAGGGAGGGCCCCCCAACTCAAGCACGAAATCAATGTTGAGTCAACAATCATCGAGAAGGGCACCACCAAGCGAGATCGAGACCAGCACCTTGCCCTTGGATAGGGTTCCAAACCTGCCTTCTTCAAATATCCTAAAAGGTCGGACTAACAAGCGAGAAACGTCGACTTTAATAAAGAAGGGAAGGGGGGCGCGCTAGCTTACTAATAATAGTGGGCTTTTTCAGCTTGACCAGAATCGATTCCATTATAGAATAGCAGAAGTGCTACTTAGTAGTCGAAACTCGGAGAGAGAGAGGGCAGAATCGATTCCATTATAGAATAGCAGAAGTGCTACTTAGTAGTCGAAACTCGGAGAGAGAGAGGGGACTCTTTCATATCTGCTAACTCCTAGGATGAGAAGTAGGTCCCTTGTTTTTAGCAGGAATAGTTCCAACCTTTGTTGCCACTCGGTAGAGTGAGTCTACTTAGCGAACTGGCAGGACGATTGATCCATATGAATCTCGAAAGTGGATGGTTGACCGCCGCCCCCTTGTCCTGGAGGCTCTCCGGCCGGGGCTTACTATCGTAACCTTTTCTTCTGGTGTATGTGAAAAAGAGTGACTCACCCCTTTCCCTTTTTTGTTCGGTCAGAAGTTGGTCCAAATAACGAGAGTGGGCTTCCTTAAGTTCATTGTTCCTCAGTAGCTCAGTGGTAGAGCGGTTAGTTGTTAACTAACTGGTCGTGGGTTCAAATCTCCTACTTGGGGAGAATTTTGAGTTCTTGCTTTTTTGACCTAGCGACCCCTGTCCTTCTCCTGAGTTTCTAAACGGGAAGAATCATGGGACATCAAAAGTGGGATTGTTGGTTTTGATTCCTCACTCTCGTATAAAAAAACTGGGTCCGCTGAAAGGAATTTGTCTCCATTAGCATCATTTTGATTCCTCACTCTCGTATAAAAAAACTGGGTCCGCTGAAAGGAATTTGTCTCCATTAGCGTCATTCGAAGAAGGAAAAAACAACAGGGTGACGATGCAATGGCTAAAGCTCTGCCAGCTTCTTGTAGACTGAACTCTCTTCTCTTTAGTTTAGGCTCCGAGTTGTTTTTGGGTGTGGGATGGTCTAAATTAGCTTCTAACTAGTGGCAACGAAGTTCTTGGTAATAAGGTGGGAAGGAAGATAGCGTCATTCGAAGAAGGAAAAAACAACAAGGTGATGATTTAGGTAGTCTCGATGGATGTAGTGCAATGGCTAAAGCTCTGCTAGCTTCTTGTAGACTGAACTCTCTTCTCTTTAATTTAGGCTCCGAGTTGTTTTTGGGTGTGGGATGGTCTAAATTAGCTTCTAACTAGTGGCAACGAAGTTCTTGGTAATAAGGTGGGAAGGAAGATAGCGTCATTCGAAGAAGGAAAAAACAACAAGGTGATGATTTAGGTAGTCTCGATGGATGTAGTGCAATGGCTAAAGCTCTGCTAGCTTCTTGTAGACTGAACTCTCTTCTCTTTAATTTAGGCTCCGAGTTGTTTTTGGGTGTGGGATGGTCTAAATTAGCTTCTAATTAGTGGCAACGAAGTTCTTGGTAATAAGGGGGGAAGGAAGATCTCCACTCATTTCATTCATTCAGTGCCTGCGATGAGGGGCGACCCAGAACAAAGAAAGGGGGAAAGCTTGCTTGCTGTAGCCCTCTTTTTGTAGACTAGGCTTGGTAAGCGTAAGCTATTTATGTAGGCTCTCAAGAAGGGTAGACTCGCAGCTCAGCGGAAGAGCCTGACTTTCGAAACAACTCTTAGTCAAGCAAGAGCGCCCAACCTATAGGCTTTGAAAGGATAGGGGAAGGGAATAAAACAAAGAGGGTCACTTCTTTTAGGAACATGGCTTGTTCATTTACTTGCTCATTCACTCGCAGCTTAGACAGAAGCAAGGAAGGGGGAAGTGTCGAAGCTTTGCCCCTTGCTTTACAAATATTGTTATGAACTGATTAAATGACTCGATTCTCCCAGAATGCTAAGCGCGGTCTTCCTTCTTAGAACCCATTGAGGGGGGCCTCGGCCCGGGAAGGGGAGAGTAGCCGAGCGGTCAAAAGCGACAGACTGTAAATCTGTTGAAGTTTTTCTATGTAGGTTCGAATCCTGCCTCTCCCACTTGTTTGTTGTAGACTGAAGAGAAGAGAAAAGAGGCATTCGTCATTGTAGGAAGGCCCAGCGAGCTTCGCTCTTTCTTTTTTTTCTGTGGCGTGAAGTGAAATTGTCTCGTATTTCAGTTTAGGGAGGTTGGCAAATTACTACGATCTATAGATTCCCATCGATAGGCAATCCCAACCAGAATAGAAGCGAGTGGCTTCCGATTTTGCTTGTAGTCGTTGTCTTTAGCTTATGTAGTGGTCGGCCTTCCCTTCCTACACGCACGCGCCCGCCAGAATGCCTCCTTGGTTTTGCACGAAGCCAAGCCAATACATACGATAGGCGAAGTTAAGACCCCCATTTCATAGCACCTGGGGAACACAAGTTTGATCGAGGATTGGAGAGGTGGAAGAAATCGGTATGGATTTATGAGTCTTTGTGCGAGCCGTATGCGGTGAGAGTCGCACGTACGGTAACGAGGGGGGTTCGCGTCTATACGTGTAGTGTGGTGTTTGGGCCTACCCACCCTATTTGTTCCATGATCTATGGGTCTACTAGAGCTAACCACTTCGATCAATTAGCCAAGATTTTGACCGGATACGAAATCACTAGTGCTCGATCTAGTGGTATTTTTATGGGGATTCTATCTATCGCTGTAGGATTCCTATTCAAGATCACTGCAGTTCCTTTTTGGGCGGCTGTAGGACAGACGACAGCCTATAGGTGGTAGGGTAGGGTGGGTGGTACCGCACAGATTGTGGCCAATCTTCCTAACTGCGCGCGGGCCGGGCTTAGAGCGCGTGAAACTCGTCACTACCTAGTAAGGGCATTGAGACCATAGCATGTTACACGAAAGTGCAGCTTTCTCTGTAGTCTTGTCACACAGCAGCCCGCCTAGAAGAGCCACTCGCTCTGTAGTGTTGTCACATAAGATAAGCACTAGCCCGCCTGATGGCCGAGCGAATCTAAGTTCTCTTCCAGTCAACTGTCCACCCAGTCAAGTGCAAAAAACACAGTAGAATCACGCAAGGCACCCAACTGGTGTGCTTTCTGCCCGCGAGGAAAGAAAGAAGAATGACAGGGATGAGTTCAGATTTGACTGTTTAAAGCATGGGAGAAGATTACCCAATAAATTCCTGGGAACAATGAAAAAAAAGATATCTCGGTAACGAAAATTATGGGGGGCTGTATTGGCGAGATCCAATGGTGAACAGTTGCCCAAAAGAAAAACTGCCTAGAAGTCCGAGGACCTTTAGTACCCTACCCCCAAACCACCTTCGCACCAAGCAAGACCGCCCTTGTCCCTTTCCTTTCTCCATTCCACCTCCCCTTCTTTCTGAGCTTTGTTCCAATCGAGTCTAAGGCAAAGCAAAAGTCGTTCATATACCTCTTTTTTGACCTACTTGACGAAAGGGAACAAAGTTTCGTTTCCAGGTTTATGGATTGGATTTAGTCAGTTAAACTCATTCCTTTTTATTATGTTGTGACGGGTTACCGGTGAACGCTTCCAAAAGCGACCCTCTCGAGTTTCTGGCAATTTACGTCATTGAAGTAGTCTTTCGTCATCCTACCAAACTAAAGAAGTCACTATCAAGCAGCAAGCCCTTATTAGTTTAGTAAAGTCAAGCTAAAAAAACAAGAGATTAACCTGCGGTGCGCTATGCCCGGCAACTCATGAAGTATGGCTCCTTCCTATTGACTAAAGGTGGATTCTTCGCTTTCCTTGAGAATGAAAGAAAGTAGCTATTCAGCCCCTACCATTGACTTTTGACATTGTTTGATTCAAAAGGCGAACAGCCAGCCCCCCCGACTAGTCGTATGAGGTGGGGTGCTTGTTGTAAGCGGCTTTGGATATGAGGAATTCCTAAAAAAAAGAAAAGGCAAAAGTCGGTATTTGACGAAGATCTTTCGATCAATAGATAGGATTTAGTGTTCGATATAGGGGATAGGATCCAGTCTTTCTCAATTTGATTTAGAGAGAGAGATATAAAGATATCAAAACAAAGAAATAGGGAGATGATAAAGAATACATAGACAGAAAAACGGATGTCTATTCTATTCCTCTTTGTTTCTTTTTCAGTGCAAGACAGGAAACCTTCTTTTGTCATCCCTGCAGCTTTCTTTTGTATTGAACGCATGGCCTAGGACCTGAAAATCATCGCCTATGTTCACACCCCTCTTTCTTTGTATCAGGCTAGTAAAGAATGCCCGCCAAGTTCAGATAAGGAAATTCTTCCCCCAACCATTAAAGGCTCGACGAAGGGAGGGGAAGGAAAACGCTTTCGGAGATCGAGATTGGATTTCTTTTTCATAAAAAACGAAGAAGCCGAGGATGGCCTACAGTGCATCTTATCTGAAGGGAACACGCTTTTTCCAAAGCGGTGGTATGGTTGTCGGGCCCTCTCCTCGTTCTACCCATTGGCCTATTAGGTAGGATAGTAGTCTTCGGGCTTTGCTTGCCCTTTCTCATCAAGAATTCCAGCTTGGCTTGGGAAAGCGCTGACAACAAAAGGAAGGGGTCCATGTAGCTGCTGCGCCCACCCCCTTCTTAGTCAATGGGGCAGCAAGTTCGACATCCACTAGAAAAGAGAGAATCCACTTCAAATAACTATGCCTCTGCTAGGCGGCAGCGTGTGGAATAGCTAAGAGCGGACCTTTTTGGATATATAATCCAAGTCGAGAGTGGAGTTACGGAAAGAGCCGTCTGATAGAAAACAACTTTCACGTTCGGTTCAGAGAGCACTTTTTTCGTTGATCATTCTTCGTTCCCTTTAGTGTGAATTCCACAGCGGCGAATTCTCAACTTGTCGGGCCCTATCTATTCCATCTCTCAAGCCCCGAAGAAAAACCCCTACCCTTTGGACTCCATATCTCTTTTGACTCTATATATGTGGGCACCTGATATCTATGAGGGTTCACCCACCCCGGTTACAACATTCCTTTCTATTGCGCCTAAAATCTCTATTTTTGCTAATATTTCACGTCTTTCTATTTATGGTTCCTATGGAGCTACATTGCAACAAATCTTCTTTTTCACAGCATTGCTTCTATGATCTTAGGAGCACTGGCAGCCATGGCCCAAACGAAAGTCAAAAGACCTCTAGCTCATAGTTCAATTGGACATGTAGGTTATATTCGTACTGGTTTCTCATGTGAAACCATAGAAGGAATTCAATCACTACTAATTGGTATCTTGATTTATGTATTAATGACGATAGATGCATTCACTATAGTTTTAGCATTATGGGAACCCCGTGTAAAATATATAGCGAATTTGGGCGCTCTAGCCAAAACGAATCCTATTTCGGCTATTACCTTCTCCATTACTATGTTCTCATACGCAGGAATACCCCCGTTAGCCAGTTTTTGTAGAAAATTCTATTTATTTTTCACCGCTTTGGGTTGGGGCTTACTTCCTAGCCCCAGTGGGAGTAGTGACTAGCGTTATAGGTCGTTGGGCGGCCGAAAGGTTGCCACTAGTAAGTCTGTCCGTTTGGGAGACCGAAGGCAGTTCTCCGTGCACCGGACACGTAGCTTACCGAATCAGTTGCGACACGGATGGGAATGCATGCTCCGAAAGATAGGGTCGAGTCTGATACATCAAACGTCTACTCCCTTGTACGAGTCACAATCACTACACGAGATGAACCT